GTGGGGCTGAAAATTCCAACCCTCTAGTCTACACACACACACACACACACACACACACACACACACACACACACACACACGTTTAAGTTTCCATAGCAACCAGCTCCCATCCTGCAGTTATCTAGGGGCTTTCCAAAAATTGCTTCATTAACATAAACCCAGGTGTGGTTGAAGGGGACATCTTATGAGTAACAAAAGACACTTTTTTCACCTTTATCTGGAGCTATTTCAGGAACTAAGAACAAAACCCAAATAAAATAAAAAATGATCCTATAGCTCTAATCACTGAGGAAATTACAAGAGTTTTAGAAGCTGTAAGCCAGGAACCATAATGACCAATATATATATTTTTTTGTTATATCACAGTATAATAATATTTCTCATGTGAAAGTTACTTATCTATCCTTGACCCGCTCTGAACAATAATTCTAAGAATGAGACTCTCTCTCTGGTTATAGTTCATGTTGCCTTAACTCGGAGCCACAGACACATTATGATCTTTCATTAAGAAGTTTGCTTTTAGTCATAAAGTGCTTTTCAATTAAAGAGTAAGCTGTAAAACCAGCTCATGAAGGCACATGTGGGATATGAGTACACTAGTGGAAAAAGCACAAATCAATGCAATTTTGAAAGACTGAAAAAGTACATTATTAATCTTACTGAAATAACTGATGGGTTCCATTTAAAAATAAATACTCCTTTCCTATAGGATTAAGTAGTGAGTAAGCATGAGAACCCTGAAATTAGACTTGCCTAGGCCCAAATCACAACTCTTCTACTCACTGGTCATGTGACCTTTGGCTAGCTACTGGATTACAATGGGCCTCTGTTTTCTTATCTGTCAACAGAAAATAATACTGCCTGTGTAATAGATAGCTATGGTGAATAAATGAGACAATGCATATAAAGCTAGTACACATTGAGCATCCAAAATCAGGTGCTCCAAATTTTCGAACACTGACATGATGCTTATAGGAAATTCTCATTGGAGCATTTTAGACTTTTGAATTTGGGATGCTCAATGGGTAAGTAAGTATAGTGCAAATATTCAAAATCTGAAATCCAAAACACTTCTGGTCCCAAGCATTTTGGAAAACAGATATTCAACCTGCATTTAGCACACAGTGTGTACCTCATAAGTGTTTATTCTTTATCATTTCCAAAGAAAATTTCACAAGTTAGTGGGATCAAACAATTCTGTCTTGGGGTGGTAAAATAAATAAGGTTGGTTTTAGAAGAATCTGATTCAAAGTTTTATAAAATCTTATTTTTAGGTTCTTGGTACAGTAGGGAGCAAAAAGGGGTGATTCCTTTCCTTCCTATCATAAGAGTAACAGCTGACACCTCTCCAACAAAAGCAAATTAACAAGGGAAAAGCATAACAAATTTATTTGATCATAGTTTTATGCGACACAGGAGCCTTCAGAATGAAGACCCAAAGATATAGGGGCAACTATTCCTTTACTAGAATTTTTATTTTTGATTTAGGGTCTCACTCTGTAGCTCAGGGTGGAGTGCAATGTCCTGATCATAGCTCACTGTAACCTGTAACTTCTGGGCTCAAGTGATGTTCCACTTCGGCCTCCCAAAATGCTGGGGTTATAGGTATGAGCCACCGCTCTTGGCCCATTTTTATGCTTAGGTTCAATGAAGTATGGAAAGCTGTGTAGAAATATGATTGGACAAAAGGGGTATGATCCAGTGCTAATAGGCTGAATGGGGAAACCCAGCAAGGCCTGTCCAGATTTCTTCTTGGCCTTTCTATATGACATTCCTTCCTCCCAGGTATGGGGTAGGACCCCCCTAGAATGAGGGTCTTAATTTCTTTATGGCCAGCGGTTAGCAAGAAAGAGAAAGGGAAGGGAATGAGAAGATTAGAGTAAATTTTTTAGGCTTTCAGGCTGGTTTTGGGGAAAAGGTTCTGGTTTATATGGTCCGCCTCAGGCAAGAAGGATTCCAGTTTCTATGGCTTCCTTTAAGGGAGAATGAGAGTGAGAGACAGGAGGGCAGGAAAAAGCTAGACAGAGACTTTGCTTCTGAGGCTGCTTTTAAGTCCTTCACTTTGGGGTATCATTTTTAGCCCCAATAGACCACCCTCTCCTCTGGTACAAATTCAACTACCATTTTGGGGTAAAGTCCACATTTGACAACATTACCTCTCAGGCAACTTTTTGGGCAAAAGACATTTTCTAGAGAAGGTTTCATTTTTCCCTGTCTTAGCATTTTTAATGGCATAGAGTCAAGGATTTCAAAACTATTGCTTAAGGTAGCATTTATCTTGCAGGTATTAATTCAGAAAGTGCTAATGGTTGCAACAGTGTAAACAGCTGGAACTTAAAACAACAACGATTTCTTTTAGCTCAGTTTCTTCCCACAAAGCTCAGAAATGGTCTGGGGAGCAGATGGGCACGGGATGGATAGAGAATGCAGTGTAAAATCCTGCTGGTGGTTTTGGTTTAGAATGTAGATTTTACTTGCACTCTTACCAGGCAGGATCAACTGAAATCAAATGTAAAACAAAACAAGAATAGCAGGTTGGTCTGAAAGAATAATCCCAGCATTGACATCATCAGGTTTTAAGCAGATACATATACATAATACATAAATTTAGTATGAATTATTTATGAGCTAAAGGGTTCAGGTTTTAGCGCCTGTAGAATAGTAAGAGTTATATTGAAAGTCAGAACCAATGCAAGAAATTGAGACATTTAAAAACTCATTATTTCAATATTTAATATCAGGTCCTGTGCAGGGTGTCAATAATAGACATAAAAGTGAATCAAGATACAGCCCTGCCCTGGAGAGGCTCCCAGACTCTGTAGTGAAGAAGCATGTAAAGAGACAAATGAGAGCATACCATGGTAAGTGCTGTGGTCACACAAGGAAGGGTTACACTTGCCTAGAAACTGTGGAGGCTTCATAGAGAAGGTGACTTTTAAATTATGCCTTCAGGCCGGGCCTGGTGGCTCATGCCTATAATCCCAGCATTTTGGGAGGCCAAGGCGGGTGGATCACCTGAGGTCAGGGGTTTGAGACCAGCCTGGCCAACATGGTGAAAACCCATCCCTACTAAAAAAAAAAAAAAAAAAAATTAGCTGGGCATGGTGGTGGGTACCTGTTAATCCCAGCTACTCAGGAGGATGAGGCAGGCAGAATTGCTTGAACCTGGAAGGTGAAGGTTGCAGTGAGTGGAGTTCACACAGAGTGAGACTCTGTCTCAGAATTAATTAATTAATTAATTAATTATGCCTTCAAGGAATAACTCAACCCAGCCTCAGTTTTCTTACAGCTAACAACAAAACAACAATATAACATAATTGCTGTTATCATACAACCCACTAGAGGGGTTACAGATATTCTAAGTCTCACCACAACCCTAAAAGGTAGCTATATTCCAATAGACGGATGAGGAAACTGAAGTTCACAGCTAGCAATACAAGAGTTAAGCCCAGACCTATTTCATTCCAAATCCCTTACCACAGCCCCACACGGCCCAGAAATATCTACTTCTGCTCCTACCACCAACCTGTACATGGTTATCTGATAATTACGTAGAGTCTTTAGTGTTGGAACTACTCACTCTGGAAGTCCAATTAGAATGTCAAAATTTAGCCTAAAGAATTGGGTATAAAGTGAAAGGTCAAGACAGAGACTGTGTACCCAGTTCATCTAGCTCACAGTACCCTCTCCTTTCTGGAGATGTGCTGAACTTTAAGGACATTTACTTCAAAATGGTTTATTCTGGTTTGTGTGTATGCGTGATTCCCTCTCCCATGAACTATGAACACCCTGAAGTCAGAGAATAAGCCTTGTACTTATTTAAGACCCTCCCTCAAGTTGACTGATTGCTAATTCTCCCAGTCCTTTACAGAGAGCTTGCTAAGTGTGGATGTTGATGTGAATTAGATGGACTGAGATGAGATGACTAGGTTTAAGGTTTACATGCTACAAAACAAGAAAAAGTGAACTAAGCCGTGTAGCATAGTTTTTAGACTAGTAGCTTTCAAGCATTAACGTGCATGTGAATTACCTGCCTACACGTGAAAAACTACCCAGTTGATCCAATTAGAAGGCAGACACAGAGTAGCCAAAAGTATTGCAATAAAGCAACTTGGGGTGGACTCAACTTGCAGGGGATTCAGATCCCAGGTTTCCAAACCTTTTTGCTATTCCTGGTTCTTTTGCTTTCGATGAAGAGTAGTAAGTACGATAGTAGCTCTCATTTACTGACTACTTACAAAGTGCTTGGCACTGTTCTTGGTGATTTGAGCATATTAGCTAATTCTCACAGCACCCTGTACTACTATACCTATACTGATGATAAGGGGATGTGGGTCGGGGGGAGGGGGCAGGTAAAAAGAACAGTAAATTTCCTAAGTTTAAACTGGAAGAGCAGGGATTTAATCCTGGTTCACCTGAGTACAAAGTCTAAGGTTCAATGGTTCCTTGACACTGGGTAGCAAGGGAACATTTCAGGGATGCCTAAGCTTGTGGTCAGGTGCCAGTGGTACAAAGCCAGAAGTGTATTAGAGAGCCCTTGCAGAATAAGGCCCTCCACAGGAGGGTTGTAACCTTGGTACTTCTGTGTTTAAATTCAGGTAAGGTCAGAGCCTCACTGTGTTTAAATTCAGGTAAGGTAAGAGAATTGAAGAGGTAAAACTACCTTAGAGAGTATTGCTGCATCTACCCTGGTGACTTACAAGGTACTTGAATTTTTTTTGTTTGTTTGTTTTTAAGCAAATTGCTAAAGTTAGCCTTTGCCTTTTTCCCCCAGACTCTCTAGGAATTTTTCCCACCTGCTGACTAGGAGGTAAGCCACGACCTAAATTTTTGTCTTGTTCTAGGTTAATTAAGACTGGTGTTAGATTCAGCTCCTAAGGCCTAAGAGAATTTAAGATTGTCTTCTGGGAAGGACACCCAACAGCAGCACTGGAATTGGAAAAAAAAGTGTAGGATTTTGCTGAGTGAGCAGGGGGAAAGCAATGTAAAGCCCAAGAGAATATCTTTTGAACAAATGTCCTTTTCATTTTGGTTTAGAAATAGAAACATAGTAAAAGGAGGCGACTGCTTTCTGAAGGCTTGTAGTATGAAAACAGGCCAACTGGTCAGCGACTAGTTGTCTATCAGTTTCTCTACTCACATACATCTGTCTTTTCCAGACTGCCAGTGCGGAGCACTAGTTTGACTTTGGGTGCTCTTCAAATAGCTGGCATTGATAAGGCATTCCCAGAAGACTGTTACTTAGTAATCTTGTCTGTACATTTTTTCACTGGGAAGAGATTTTCCATACAGAGAGCTGCCAGCTTTCAAGACGTCAGTTTGCTTTTTCATCCTGAAATTGGGTAGGAAAACGGGGAGAAGAAAAGCACAGTTCAGATCAATCAATGAGGGAGAACCCCTCCCCCCATACTCGCTAAATAACAGGTGGTTTTGCTGTGCACCGTCAACTCCTTTATGCGGGAGCTGTAGGCGGGGCATTCCAACTGAATCTCCCCGGAATCTGCCGCTTAGCCCGTCTTGCAGGGGCGGTGCAGTTGGGGATTCCGGCCTGAAAGGAGACATGGTTGTCAAGGGGCTCAAGAGCTTCGTGATCCAAGGATATTGGGTTTTGCTTTTCTCCTTCTCCATCTCCCTCAGTGTATCCCACCGTCCCCTCCCCACCCTTCTTTTAGGAGGCCTTCGCTTCTCCTGTGGAGGGGTTATCTTCATCCTGACCCTGGCCTTCGGAGGAGTTCCCAGAAGGGCTATTTTTAGTGGTGGCTGCTCCCCTCTAACTTACCCCGGGGGAGGAGCTGCGGTGGCTGAGCCGACGCCTTCGCGCACAGCCGCCTGTGGTTTTCCGCGAATTGTTAGGGATGAGTGGTGGAGGTGGTATTAGACGCAGCCGAATCCCCCCACGCAGAGCCCGCCAGGTGGGCGTCTCAGGGGTGGGAGTGGCCGCGTCGCGAAGCGGAGACAGGATTTCTCTCCCAGTCCTGGAGAAAGCCCCCGGCGGCGGGCGGCAGCCCTCGCTGGCGGGTCCTGGGCGCGGGGTGGTCTCTGCAGGGGAGGAAGTTCCCGGGCAGCGCGGCCTGCGTCACAGCGGGGCTGGCACCGCGGAGTCGACTCGGCTGGCGGTAGCGACCCCAGGGCCGGGCGCTGGGCGGCGCTGGCTGCCGCTGGCCCAGCTGCGCGCGGGGCGGTGCTGGAGGCGGCTCCGTCCGCGGCCGGGGAGGCGGAGGGGAGGAGGGCTTGCGGGGCTGGGGCGTTAGCTGCGTCCCGGCTGGAAGCCCGCGAAGAGAACGAGGAGGAGGGCGCCGCCGTGGCCGCGGCTGCAGTGCTCTGGCGCTACAAGCCATGAGCAGCGGTCCCGCGAGAGACCCCGCCGTCGCTGGCAGCCGCTGAGCCCGACCCCCAGGCAGCTCGCTGCTCCCTAGGACCCTCTGCAGCCGACACCCTCGCGCCCGGAGGTAAGGGCGGGGGATCCGCGGAGGGATGGAGAGGGGCAGCCCGCAGAGGGCCACCCGCTCGGTCTGCCGGGCGCGCCGCACCAGGACTCGCCCCGCCTCACTCGCGTCCCTGCCTCCCCCCGGCTCTCAGTCAGAATGTGGTTGCCCGCCCGGCGTGTGGTGCCGGGAACCATCCGCTACTGCGGCTCAGGAGCCCGCCAACCCCTACCCCACCCAATCCACGCTAGCCCCGGCGGCCGCGCGAGGACCCCAGCCCGGCGCCCAGCGCCGCGCGGCCGCGGCAGGTCGTGCAGACTGGGCACGGGGGCGGGGGGCGGGGGGCGGTCCGCGAGGGAAAATGCGTCCGTGGCCGGGGCGATCGTCGTTCTTTCCTACCTCGAAAATCCCTGAGACCCCGGGGCCTGTCCTTTCCGGTCTGCCACCCCCCTGCCACCTCCGAACCCTTGAAGTTAGCACTTTTGGGGAGGCAGAGGAATTGGAAGGTTTCTCGAAGAAACGTGAGAGCACCGTGTGCTCACCTGCAGGACTGAAGGGGAGGGGGTTCAGCTCGATCGGGCGGGCCCCAGAAGCCAGGTGTCTAGGCCAGCGGTTGAGGCCAAGACCGCTGCCTTCATCCCACGCTGATCTTTCCCTTTCCAGCTGGTTCCACCAACGAGATGATTAGGGATGGAGTTAGCAACTCAGGAGCGTTAGGATGTGTTCTGTGGACGCGAATGCCTTTCTTTTCTCCCTCAGCCAGTTCTTCCCTCCCCAACCCCCCACGCCTGCCCGGTATACAGCAAAGTCCAAACAGTTTCTTCCAAACCTTGCATCCTCCGTAGTTTTGCGATAGCCGGACACCTAGCCCGCATCCTAATGCGGATATTTCGGAGTGTTACGGCCAAACTTGCCTTGGTTTCAAATTCCTTAAGCATGTTAAAGCCTCAGCAAACGTTAGGAAACATTTTCAGGTTCCCATCCTCCTTAAAGTAAAAAATAAGAACCAATCCATCTTTGTGGGAGTGCCGGCGTTTGGCACGGGGAGGCTTGAATTACCTCCATTTAAAGCAGCCTTTGAGGGAAGGAATAGGTAAAGGAAATTACGGCCCTATTTAAGTCACATACTTCTTTCGCGGTAGTGTGAGAAATGTAGCCTTAACCAACAGTCACATTTCCCGACAGGTATGTGGTGGTTTCCCAAAGCATGGATGAGGCTTCAGCGTGGGCAGGTCATTAAGATGTCATTTAGACGAAAAAGGAGTAAAAGTGGAGTAGTCCTCTTGGTTAGCACAACGCTACAAAATCTCTCTGGCGAGAGCCAATCATTTTTATACATTTATACATTCTGTTTATTTTTAAATAATTTGTTGAAAACCCAAAACATAATCTAAACTGCACAAAACTTGCTCAATTCATAAACAATGTGTTAAGTGTGTAAACAAACATTAAATGTATACAGCTTTAGTCTAGGATATTTGTATTTCTTATGACTCGCTTTAATAGGGAAGGCCAGGGCTATTGGTTTGCTTTCCTCTGGAGTGATTAACAAATTCTGTCTTCGGGTCAGTTTGTTGCCTTTGAGGGGGATGTAGGGCAGTTTTGCAAAGATGGATATTTGCCATGGTTCACTTAATAGGTTGGCCACAGACCGGACTCATCAACCCAAGAATTGTATCAGAGATACCAAGCATATTTAACAATTTTCTTATTAATAAAATCAAGCCTTTATTAATAGTACTAATCTATTATTTCTCAGATTAAGCACTTTAGTGAAATGTGTTTTTAAAAGGGAATGCTTTTAGTGAAAATAATGCATTCGGAGCTGTAAGATAAATGAATGAAAATGCTGCACTTTATTTCCATGAAGTTTATCTTTTAAAAAACAATACAAAGTTAGAAATATGTTTAACTCCCAGGTGTTCAATTTTTACCAATTTATGATTTTTAATAGTCTATAGTATTATTTATAGTCACCTATAACATTATAATAGAGCAAGCCCAGGTTTAAAATGAAATGAGGTGGAAACTATATTTTGCCAAGAATTGTGTTAACGATTTAATATGGTACATTTCTATAACATAATGTAGCTGCATGCTAGATACCTAATACACATTATCTCAGGTTCTTACAACGAACCCCTAAGGTAGATGGTACCATCTACATTTTACAAAAAAGGAAGTTCAGAGTTTCTGACTTGGCCAAAGACTATACAGCTAAGTTAGTGCCTGAATGAAGTCAAGCCGCCTTAGTCTTAATGATATACTTTTTAAAAAAATTATTCAAAGCTGCTTATTTTTTCTATATAAATTTTTTGTTAACTCACCATAATGACTATATGAGGAAACAGAGATTGTAAAGTTTTCTGCCCAGCATTTTCCGTATAACAGAATTCCAATTCTGAATCAAGGCCATCTGTTTCTAAAACCCATGTTCTTGCCACTGATTTCTATTAAATGACTGATCCAGAGCTTAACCTTAGCGGACAATTTACTCCTGCCCATCAGCTATTATCACTGACATGACAATGATGGTCTCATGGGCTGTAACACACTCCCAAGATTTTATACTTCATTTCTGGAGTGTTGGCTGTATCTCCAATTCCAGATCACTCATGAAAGCATATTACAACTAATGAGGGTTACATAACCATGGAGGTATCCTTGAATCTACTTGATTCCTTTTGAACTATAAATCATTCTAGTTTGGCATGGAGTAAAGAGAATGGCCTCCAGAAAAAGCTGCTATCAAATTCGGACTCTACTGCGCAGTAGGAGTGCAAATGAGCTCAGATTATTCAACTTCTTTGAACCCTGGTTTCCTCTTGTATAATGGGATTAATAAAGCCTCCTTAGCTGGATCACTGTACGGATTACTTGTAATAGTGCATGTAAAGGACAGCTTCTGTCACCCAGTAGGTGCTCAGTAAAGATAAACACCAGTGTATCGTAGCACTGGTAGAAATTTCTGCTGTATTTCACTTTATGTATATTTTACATGCATGTAGTGATTAGTCATTGCTATCAGTGATTCACTCTTTATATGATTATACAAACGTGTAATCTGATTCTTAGCATCTTTAACTTTTGAATCACATCCTTTTTTGTTGTCTTGAGTCAGAAACATGTATTCACATTCTGTAGTTTTTCCTTTGTTCTTACTCTTTTATTTTATTTTTTTTATTTTTACTTTACTAACAATATGTCAATGGATCAGAATTTGTATTTTTTGGCAAACATACTTTCCTGTTTTCTGCCTCTCCTGATCTCTTAGCCTTGTATATCACTCAGGGTACCATGACAATGCCAGTCTCTCCCCACCACACACCTCACCCTTGACCAAGTCTCCAACAGCTGCAATTCTGCGTCTCCTACAAGGCTCAGCATAAAAGCTACCTCCCTCATGAGCCTGCCTGTTTCCCTCCAGATCCTTGTCAGTTCACTTATAATTCAGACAACACGTACGCCTCCAAAAGTGCTGGGATTACAGGCATGAGCCACTGCACCCAGCCCACTCCTAACGCTTTTTAAATTTTTTTTAAAAAATTGTTATTTTTCCAGGCAATACATTTGAAAGACTTTAAACTCTTTGATGTCAGGGATTTTTAAAAATTTCTTTATATTTTTGCTTGGGATAATACACAGATGGTTTCTATTTCCTGAATGAGAGACAAATCGGATATTCTTAGATCCTTACAGTAAGTAGGAAAGACACCCAAATTGTTAGTGGCACCTTCTTTGTTATCTTGAGACTTGTTCAACCCAGGCTTCTCCACTAGTTTAATTGGTATTACATTTGCTGGAAAGCTATCATTCTTAAACAAAGCCTTGGACATTAGGTACCATGTAAAATAGCTATGTTTCGTTAATAAATTGCTTCCATGGTAATATAACCTCATTAAGTTGCAAATATACTGAGTATGTCAACCGTATTTGAGTCGTTTGGTAGTTTAGATGGGTCATGGTCCAAATGTACTTCTTTAAGAATAAAATGTACTTGAGGGGAAGGAACACGTACCTCAGAGAAGAGGTTGAGATAATGAGCAAGGAGGATTTCAGACCACTTTCACTGAAAGTAAAACTCAGCATGGCACAGTGTGGAGGCTACAACCAGAAGTGGCCTTCAGAGAGAGAATTAGCACAAGCAGAAGACCCACTCTGAATATGACTCACTATACATATGAGGGGTAGAAAAATAAAATGGAAGAGGTAAAATAAACGAAGCATAACTGTAATACTTTATGACTGAGGCCTGCTAGATATTGGTCATTCTTGGACTGTAAAAGTAGAAAAGAGACTGTGGGGTCAAGATGGGCAAGAAAGAGAAACTAACGTCGCCTTGGACATCTAGCGCAGCAACAGACTCCCACTTGCTCGAGGGCCAGCACAGAGCGACAAGAGTGTAATCTCAGAACTTTGTTTGAAATACATAGTTTGGCAGGAATATATTGAAAATTTCCTAATGATTACAAGATAGAGAATGTCTAAGCTCTTTTCCAATATCAGGTATAAAACACAAAACCCCAGACTATCTACTTAGGAGTATAACATACCATCACAAATTTGAGGAATGAATTTAGGATCATTTTCTGGTATTGGATGGGTGTTCTTTTAAAATATGGTTGTAAGTCTAACATTTGGTGTATCTAACCGAATGTTAATTGATAGAGACAAAGTGATATGGGTTCAGAAAATAGAATTCAGAGAAGAAAAGGAAGAATTGGCAAAATAAAAAAATCAATTTTAAGAAAAATATGGTAAAGCTTAGGGAAGTAACTGAAAATGTTCCAGATGACCAAAGTATTTTGAGTCAAAGAAATCCAGGAGAGCTATATGTTCTGTAAAGAACCTTTCTAAGGACTCAGAAGAATAAAAGCTCTTTCCATACCAGAAGATGTTGTGAAGGTAAAACAAGAAGGAAATTAGTTTGTCTAAAACAAAAATCCATCCTAGGGCCGGAAACACTAGAGAGAACATAGTGGAGCTGATTTCATTTCTCAACCTTTTTTTGATTATTAACCTCAGTCTGTGAACCCTTTTTCCGTAAGTTGTAACAACACAGATACACTGTGTTTATGAACTGTGACTCTTTGGTGGATCACAAACCATTATTTAAGGTTTTGTTACCCCGCCTTCACCTCAACCAATTTTTCCTAGGGGCAAGATTGTCCCCGCATTGAGAACACATGGTGTAGCATGATTCTATATGATGTTTAAAATCACAAAAGAGCCATATAAAACTTAAAGACATGAAAAATAGTTAACATATCTATGTATTTTTTGTATGAATATATACAATACCTTAATTTACACGTCCTCTGGAACTAGATTACTTTTTTTGCAAATAAAGCATACTTTATTGACCCTTCAACTGAAATTTATATGTAAAAATGTAAGGTTTCTAGTCCCAATTTTACATTGACAAAATTATTAAATTCATAAAGTTGTCTCTCAAATCCTCCCCTACCTGCATCCTTTTATTTCCTGGAAGGGAAGCCCTCCCTAAACTTCAGACATTCAACATCCTTTATATATTTCTGTTATGCTGGAATGCTGTGGTATTATTCATTCTTTTGACTGATCAATTGTATGAGTATAAATTGGTTTGTCTCTATTAGAGAATTTATGTTTTAAACTATAATTTTATTTATTTATTTATTTTTGAGACGGAGTCTTACTCTGTCTCCAGGCTGGAGTGCAGTGACGCGATCTTGGCTCACTGCAACCTCTGCCTCCTGGGTCCAAGCAATTCTCCTGCCTCAGTCTCCAGAGTAGCTGGGACTACAGGCACAGGCCACCATGCCTGGCTAATTTTTTTGTATTTTTAGTAGAGATAGGGTTTCACCACATTGGCCAGGATGGTCTCGATCTCTTGACCTCGTGATCCACCTGCCTTGGCCTCCCAAAGTGCTGGGATTACAGGTGTGAGCCACCACAC